TCTTATTCAGCCTTAGATAAGACAAAGAAAATACAAAGGCAAGTCACCCTAGATGAGGGAAACCAGATGAGGGAAATTATCAGCATGAATCCAAAGAATTCCCACCAATTGACAGCCACAGTTCTCATAAATCCAGTACAGAACAATGGAAATCACAGGATCATAGCTGGCAGTAGGCATAGTTTTTCATGGCTGCAGGCAGGATCACAGCTGTGGGGAGAGGACCCTCACAAGGATATGTGTCCACTTGCAGATTACAAAACCCAAGGATTGGTTCTGAGTCTCCATCCATGTGGCTACTTGGTGAGTCTGTTATGACTCATGGCCATGTGGTCTCTGAGTCATCAGCACCAGAACCCCCAGTTTCAACTGAAACTAGATAACGTGTGATGAAACCAAAACAAAAAACCTAAACTCGCTGCTGCCCTTGAGTCCACTCGGACTCCCAGCAAGGCTGTAGCGCACACAGAGCGGCCCCTCTGGGTGTCTGAGGCTGTCCATCTTTATGGGAGCAGAATGCCTCCTCTTTGTCCGGCAGAGTGGCTGGTGGGTTCAAAAGGCAGACCTTGCAATGAGCAGTCCACAGCTTTATGCATTATGCTAGCAGGACTCCCCCCCTCACTACTGCAGGGTTGATTCTGACTCATATTGACCTTATCGGCCAGGGTTGACCTGCCCCTGTGGTTTCTGAGACTGTCACTCTTCAATGGGAGTAGCAAGCCTCATCGTTCTCCCGAGGAAGAGCTAATGGTTTCCAATGGCTGAATTCGTAGTTAGCAACCCAAAACATAACCACGATGCCACCAAGGTTCCTTTACTACAGTGGTTCTCAACCTTCCTAATGCCTTCCTAAACCTCCCAAGTTCCTCACGTTGTGGTGACCCCCAACCATAAAATTATTCTCATTGCTGCTTCATAACTGTCGTTTTGCTACTGTGATGAATCGTCATGTAACTATCTGATAGGCAGGGTGTATTTTCATTGTTACAAATTGAACATCATTAAAGCATAGTGATTAATCACAAAAATAACATGTAATTACATATTATGCAATCTTTATTTCTAATATCAAATAAATGACATTTTGTCTTGAAGCCTGGTGTAGCATGGGGAATAGTCTTCATGCTGGGTACTCATATGTGGGCGTATCTGCATGTGGGCGGACCCGCCTGGAGATGGACAGAGGAGCAGTGTCTTAGTTCCTAAGACCATCGGAAATATGTATTTTCTGATGGTCTTAGGCAACCCCTGTGAAAGAGTCATTCTATCCCCAAAGGGGTCTCCATCCACAGGTTGGAAACTGATGCTTTAGTAAATGGCATGCAGGCTAGCTCTCTCAGACAAAATGTCCCCTCCCTGGGCTTGCCTGGGACTTGCAATCTGATTTCAACTTTGTCCTTTCTGAGAGAAAACTGTCATTTCTTGGGTTTGCCTGACAGTTGTCATAGCCACATTGCTGCTTTAATTGTCAGAAAGAACTTAATGACACTGGAGCTTATGTCAAGATGGAGAATAGAGTTAGGGCTCTCACTGTAAATCATAGCCCTCTACAAACCAAGTATGTCAGAAGTTTACTTCAGTACTCTGGAGCCCCACAACTTTAGATAGCTGACAAATAGTCCAAACTTCCTTGCCTTGCAAAATCAGTATGAATGGAGGGACTTACTCCACACCACTTAATTTAATTCATTTAATGTAGTCACTACACTCACTTAAGCCTTAAGCTTGCATTGAGGTTCTCTTGTGCATCTGAGCCTGAAGTGGGGGGAGAGGAGGAAGACAAGGTAAGACATAAGCTCTGTCTTGAAGAAAACTGAATAAATCACATTTCTTTTAAATGCTAAACATCAATGCTCAGTTTTTTAAACATCTCTCCATTCATTTGTGAAATATTGATTGAAAACTGATGCTAAAAACACTTTGTTCTAATAACCTGGCATTCTGTGATGCTCACCTTCCTGACATGATCACTGAAGACAAAATGTGTGCATATGTTAATGTGGTGAAGAAAGCTGATGGTGCCCGACTATTACAAGATATAGTGTCTGACCGAAAAGTGGATGAAGGGAGACGTCGGACAGGGCAAGATATGACAAAATACCCATTTATAAACTATCAAGGGCTCATGCGGGAGGGGGGAGCGGGGAGGGAGGGGGAAAATGAGGACCTAATGTCGGGGGTTTAAATGGAGAGAAAATGTTTTGAGAAACGATGTACAAATGCGCTTTACACAATTGATGTGTGTATGGATTGGGATAACAGTTGTATGAGCTCCTAATAAAATGTTAAAAAAAAAAAAAAAGATATAGTGTTGGGGGTTTAAAGGCTTGAAGTTAAATAAGTGGCCATATAGCAGGGAAGCGACAAAGCCCACATGGAAGAAGCACATCAACCCGTGTGATCACAAGGTGCCCTTGGGTTCCAGTATCAGGCATCAGAAGACCCAAAACAAACAACCATTTCGATGTGAAAGAGGGGTGTCAGAGTGTAGACCCAAAGTCCATCTGTAGAAAATTGGACATCCCTCCCAGAAGGTTCACAAAGAAGGGACGAGCCAGCCAGGGTGCAAAATAGCACCAAAAAAACACACAGCATTCCTCTAATTCTTTAATGCTTCCTCCACCCCACTATCATGACCCCAGTTCTATCTTGCAAATCCAGCTAGACTGGAGCATGGACACTGGTAGAGATAAGAGCTTTTGACACACAGAATCCAGGACAGATACACTCCTCAGGGACAATAATGAGAGTAGCCATACCAGGAAAGTAGGGGTAAGGTGGTGGGAGGAGAGGGTGAAGGGGGAACCAATCTCAATTATGTACTTATAACCCCCCTATAGGGGCAAACAATAGAAATGTGGGTGTAGGGAGACAGCAGATGGTGTAAAATATGAGAAATAGTTTATAAGTTATCAAGGGTACATGAGGGCGAGAGGAGAAAAAAAAGGAGCTGATACCAAGGACTCAAGTAGAAAGAAAATATTTGCAAATGATGATAGCAAGATATGTACAAATGTGTTTGATACAATAGGTGTATGGATTGTTATAAAGAGCTGAAAGAGCCCCCAATAAGATGATTTCTTTAAAAATAAAGAAAATTGATGCTAGACCCCCTGCGAATTTTCCTGTGATTAAGGCATGACTTCCCTTGCGTGTGGTTAGTAGTCTGTTGCCTGAGACAGACAGCAAACATGGTGGTGTGGGGGTTCCTGTCAAAGAGAGGAGTGTGATTCCTAGAAAAGGGAACTTTCCATCAAAACCAAAAAAGTGCATTGGAATGCAAAGGGGGAAACATTCCAGACTGAGAGAATGAAAGGTATTTTAAGCGAAAGATAATGAAGTGCATTGTAATTAAATAGAAAAATAGCCATTATTTAGAATAGGGGGTGAGCAACCTCTGCCATCTGGTCAGGTTTAGCCAGCTGCTTGTTTTTGTGAATAAAGTTTTCAGTTACTTTCTGCAGCTGCTGCAACGCAACCACGCCCATTCACTTCAGTGTTGATGGTGCTGCTTCCGTGCTACAAACATTGCTGTTGGTGTGAGGTGCTGTAGCCTCAGCCCTGATGCATTCCTATCAGAAGGAAACGCTACCCCGTCCTGTGCCATCTCCACAATCCGTTGTAGATCACCAGACCTTTCTTCCTGGTCCATCTTACTCCAGAAATGACTGAAACATGTTCAGCATCATAGCAACACCCAGCCATCTTAGGTCTGGAGACAAACTCTCACCTCCCACACGGAGGAGGAGAACTCTGCCATAGGCCACCTGTGCTCCATATGACAAAGACAGAGTGACAGGGACTGGCCAGCAGCAAAAAAATAAAATAAATCACACTCTTTGTAGAACTAGTTTGTGCCTTTGATTTAGCTGTTGTTGGGTCCAGTCAACTCATAGCAACTTTTAAAGACAGAGTAACTTGTCGATGATGGATCCCTGGCAGTGTAGTGGTTTTGCACTGGGCTGCGATCTGCGTGGCTGGTAGTTCAAACCCACCAGCAGCTCTTCAGGAGAAAGACTGGGCTTTCTACTCCCATAAACAGTTACAGTCTCGGAAAACCCACAGGGGTCACTCTGAGTCAGCATTGACTCTATGTCAGTGAGTGTGAGAACTTGCAGATGAGGGAAACCATTGGCATGAATCCAATGTGTTCCCACTGATGCCCAGCCATGACTTTCATACATACGTGGACCAAAGAAATTCACTGCCATCGAGTTGAGGGCAAGACCAAAGAAATCACCCAAAGTTTGGCCCATAGGGCTTTCTTGGCTGAAATCTGTACAGAAGCAGATGGCCAATTCTCTTTCTTGTGGACCTGCTGGTGTGTTTGAACCATCAACCTTGCAGTTAGCAGCTGAGCACTGAATCATTGGAGCATGGTTTAAGTCAACAGGATTTCCCTTTAGGTGGAAATGTTAGTGGTTGTTTGAGGATAGATGACAGTCACTAATGACAGGAGTGGTGAGATGCGATTGGGCATGTCCCAAGGCTAAAGCAAGGAGTTTAGACATTATCCTGAAGACCCAGGGTGGCTCTGCCGGTTTTCAACAAAAGGATGGTGGGCTTGACTTCTATGATAGCTGTATAGCGAGTGTTTAAGAGGGCAGGCTCTGTCATGCAGTAGCTGTAAGCCTCAGGCCAATTACTTGCTCTCTCTCTGCCTCAGTTTTCCAAAAAGTAAAATGGAAACCCATTATATCTACTTTGTGATAATCTTGTAGATGCAGCCAATGATGATAGAGTGCCAATCCAGTGGAGACTCCCAATGAAGATTCATATTATTGTGCCTCAATAATCATTCTGGTTGTTGACAGAATAACTCAGGTTGGGAGAACTTGGTTGTGGTAAGGTACCATAGGTTAAAGCAAAAGATGGAAACCTGTTCCAGGGAGGCTGCTTGGAAGCATTCATCAACGACCAACGTGGCCATCAATCAGCACAGTCACTCTCAGTCTGTCCACCATGGTCAGTGTTGTCTCTTCTGCGCTCTTTTGTTTCAGGCCTTCAAGGGTGCACTGATGAGCTCCTACTGGTGCTCAGGAAAAGGGGACGTGATCGATGACTGGTGCAGATGCGACCTCAGCGCCTTTGATGCCAATGGCCTCCCGAGCTGCAGCCCTCTCCTGCAGCCGGTGTACGTATGTATGCCTGCTTCCTTTGGCCGTCCCTTTATGTGGAATCCTACCCCTGGTCGACAGTGACCAGCATAGGCCATGACTTGTTTGTGTTCTTTGGGGGCCAAACTAAATCCCTGAGGGGCCTGGGGCCTACTTCCTTCTTGAAGGAAGAAGGGAACCATGACAGAAAAGAAACATGGCTCCAGGGTCGACACTGATATTGCAGTATCTGTTTTGAATCATCCTACTTCGTTCCTCACTGTGCGTCCCTTCTCCATGTAGCTAAGACATACTGAGTGGGGACTGGAAGCTTTGTCAGTACTTGTGCTGGGCACTGGGACTACCGCGGGAAAGAGGGAGGAGAGCCTCTCAAAGCCACAGCATGCTATCCATTCACGCAACAGTGGGAGTAGGGATCCATCTGGGGGCAAGACAGCACAATCCCGCCCCTTGAAGGGCTGACAACGTAGTGGGGGAGAAAGACAGCAAACGCAACAGAGGAAGCTATAGAGCTCATTGCCATCGAGTCTATTTTAATACATAGCAACCCTATAGGATGGGGTCGAACTGCCCCTATGGGTTTGTGAGACTGTAACTATTGATGGGAGTAGAGAGTCTCACCTTTTTCCTCATGATTTCCTGGTGAACAGTTGGTGGCTTCAAACGCCTGACCTTGTCTTTGCAGCCCAGCTCACAACCCATTAGGCCAGCGGGGGTCCTTTAGGAAACTACATGGAGTTTAAATCTTTAAATAAGAGAAACACAAAAGAGAGTAAAGAGGTGCCAGTGGAGGTACCTGTTTGGGGGGATGCTTTGGTTACAAAGGAGGAGGAATTGTCACAGAATTCTCTGATGAGAGTTGAATTACCATAGGAGTTAGTTGAGTGACCAGTGGTGAGATAATCATGGCAGAAAGAATGGCATCCATCAAAGCCTTGACACGGGAAGGCCACCATTTGTGTAAATGAAGGAAAGCCTCTTGGTTGGAGGAGTGAGTAAGAGGGAGAGTGTTGTAAGGGATATCGGAGGGGAAGGCAAGAGCCAATATTAGGAAAATCAGAGCCACATAACACACTTCTGTAGGACAAGACAAATTGCATTATAAGATAGTCCTTGAAGTGGAGAGAGGAAAGACAGGCAGACCTGGACTGGAGGTAGCCAGGTTACCATGTGTGTCTAGCGCGGGCTTTCTGGGTGACCTTGTGCACACCGTTTCCCTTCCAGATCTCTGAATATCATTGCAGTTTTCACTCTAAACCATTCTGTTCTTTCTTGTTTATAAAAAGATTTATCCCAGGATTCTTGTTTCCTCTGAGAGACTATAGAGCTCAGAATTAAACAGTTGAGTGATATATTGGAGAGTTGGGGATAATGACAGAGAGATAAAAAGCTACTATATTTGAAGACACTGTCCATGTAATTGAAAGGAAAGTGTCCTTTAAATGAGTAGAGAGCAGATCGATTTCTAGTGAACACATAGGTGCTTAAGTTAATTTACTAAATTCTGCATAGATTCTAAAAGGTAGTTCTTATCATCACCATTTTATGAGTGTGGAAATGGAGGCTCTGAGAGATAAAGTAATTTGCCTACGGCATTATAAGGGGTTGGTGGTGGATGGGATGACCCCGTGATCTAATTCAGACCATGTAAGGGCCCAAATGATGCTTCCTGGAAAACCAGCAACCGTGTTTGTCCACCCCCTGTAGACTGCGACTGTCCCCTACTGTGGAGCCCTCCAGCACCGTGGTCTCCTTGGAATGGGTGGATGTCCAGCCAGCTATTGGGACTAAGGTCTCCGACTATATTCTGCAGCACAAGAAAGTGGATGAATACACAGATACTGACCTCTACACAGGTAGGTAGAAAGCCCATGACTTCCCATTTTCTGAAGGCAATATGGCAGAGGAGGGACACTAGCGTTTCCCCTGCCTTTGGAGACTTGGTGTCACCTGATTTGGGAAAGCATTGCAAGATTGCATTGTTTGGTGATTGTCACCTGGTGCTCCTCTCTGGTTACTTTGTGTGTGTGTGATCTTGAGCGAAGAAAGGTGGCGTGTAGTCAGTGGAGAGCATTTCTGATACTCTGAGTTGGACTTTCCAAGTCATATGTCCAGGAATTAATTGATTCTGATGAAGATGCCCTGTTTCTCTGCTTGGGAATACATGCAGGTCACATGTTAGAAGGTATTCGTGTATAAGTTTGCTATCTCTGGGACTGAGAGGAGGACTTAAAGCGAGTGCCTTTTCCAGTGAGATGCGCTGAGATACCGTCCTTAACTTCTGCTGGAGAAATGAGCATGCTGGAGATGAGAAAGGTACCTTTTAAGATTCAGTCTCAGAATTATTCTAAATTTCTGACTCTGCCAAGCAGTTGACCATTCACCATGGTCTTCTCTGGGGACTAGCATTGTCTGCTCTTATTGATCTCCATGCAGTCAGTGTAGGTTCCCAACCAGAAAGTATCAACTGGGCATCTATTCACTGCGCCAGGCACTGAGCCAAGTGTTTTGTTCAGCATCTCACTGAATTGTGAAAATAACTTAAACGATACTCATTCCAAGAGCCTTGATGTCATAGTGAATTAAGCACTGGGATGAGAGATTGGTGGTTCAAACCCACCAGTTGCCCTGTGGGAAAAAGATGAGAGTATTCCCATAAAGATTTATGGTCTCAGAAACCCTGTAGAGTAGTTGTGCTTTGTCAGAATCGACTTAATTGAATTAGATTTTAGTGGGTACTCATTCTGAGATTTCAGGCATGGAAGATAACTCAAGGATATGCAGCTGTTGATGTCTCCTCAAGTTCCTGATTTTAATTTTAGGAATACATGAACCAAGACTCGATTTTTGAAAGAATACAAGTGCAATTAGTTCCTGATGTATTGACATGTATTTGCCATTAGACTGTGTACTCAAAGATGACTTGATTAACTTGATCATGGTTAAATTCCCAACATCGACCACAAGGCCTGCCATTCAAATGTTTGTTGAATGACTGCATGAATAATGAGTGAATGAAATCATCTTTATTGCTTCCTTGTCTTTTTTCCTCATTTTCTTAACCCCCTCTTCTCCCTTTATCTCTACTCTTGGGGCTAAGTTTGCTTGGCTTCGTCTGAATTGGGAAGAAAGTGGTGAATGAAGTGTGAATACGAAATGAACCAGAGAGAAGGGCCAAGATTATGGACATGAGGAGAGGTCAAGTTGGTTGCTGCTTGGTGCACTGGGAATTAATGTGACTTACTGGCTGGAGAAAGGTGGACAGGCTAGAGTGGCATTACTTTCTTTATTTTTAAAATATTATTTTATTGGGGGCTCATACCACTATTATCACAGTCCATACATACATCAATTGTATAAAGCACATTTGCACATTCGTTACCCTCATCATTCTCAAAACATTTGTTCTCTTCATAAGCCCCTGGCATCAGCTCCTTATTTTTTGTGCCCCACTCCCCGTTCCCCCCTCCCTCATGAACCCTTGATAATTTATAAATTATTATTTTTTTGTCCTATCTTACACTGTCGACATCTACTCTTCACCCACTTTTCTGTGGTCCATCCCCCAGGGAGGAGGTTATATGTAGATCCTTGTAATCAGTTCCCCCTTTCCAACCCACCCTCCTTCCACCCTCCTAGTATCGCCACTCACACCACAGACCCTGAAGGGACCGTCTGTCCTGGATTCCCTGTTTCTAGTTCCTATCTGTACCAGTGTACATCCTCTGGTCTAGCCAGGTTTGTAAGGTAGAATTGGGATCATGATAGTGGGTGGGGAGGAAGGATTTAGAAACTAGAGGAAAGTTGTATGTTTCATCGTTGCTATACTGCACCCTGACTGGCTCATCTCCTCCCTGAAACCCTTCTGTAAGGGGATGTCCAGTGGCCTACAAATGGGTTTTGGGTCTCCACTCCACACACACACACACCCCATTCACTATGATAAGATTTTTTTGTTCTTTAATGCCTGATACCTGCTCCCTTCGACACCTCGTGATCACACAGGCTGGTATGTTTCTTCCATGTGGGCTTTTCTGCTTCTGAGCTAGATGGCTACTTGTTTACCTTCAAGCCTTTAAGACCCCAGATGTTATATCTTTTGATAGCTGGACACCATCAGCTTTCTTCACATTTGCTTTTTGCACTCGCTTTGTCTTCAGCGATCATGTCGGGAAGGTGAGCATCATGGAATGCCAGTTTAATAGAACAAAGTATTCTTGCATTGAGGGAGTACTTGAGTTGAGGCCCAATGTCTATCTGTTACCTTAATACTAAACCTATTAATATATGCACATAAATCTATTTCCCCATTCTCATATATAAATATATTTACATATGTACATGCCTTTATTTAGACCTCTATACATGCCCCTTGCCCTCTCACTCTTTCTTCTATTTCCTTTTACTTTCTTCTTGTCCCACTATCATGCTCAGTCTTCATTTGGGTTACTGTAATTCCTCTCAGTTACATTACCCTTGATCATGCCCTACCAGGCCTCCTACACCCTCCTCACCACCAATTTGGATTTGTTAACATCACTTCCTTTCCCCCCACCTCCCCTTCTGCCATGTCCCCCCAGAACTGTTGGCCCCGTTGTTTTCTCCTCCAGGTTGTTCATCCAGCCTATCTTATTTCGACAGACCTGCGGAGATAATAACATGCACAAAAATAAGACAGAGCAAAACCAAGCAACAAAACAAAACAAAACTAAAAACAACAAAAAGCCAATGACAAAAAACCAAACCAAAATAAAACAAAAAACTACAAAAGCTTGTTAGGTCAAGGACTTTTTGTTGGCCTTTAGGAGTGCTTTCTGGTCGAGTTTGATGGGGTGCCAAACCCTGGCCCCAGTCTATTTTTGGTGTTCCCTGGGGACTTCATTGCTCTGTTCCCCTTGCTGTTCTGTTGCAAGCACTTAGTGTTTTGCCTCAGTGTGGTGGGATTATATCGGGCGCAATTCACACTGTGTCTCCAGTGTTGTCCCCTGTAGGGTTATGGGTCAGTGAGGGATGCCGTGTCTCATAGTGGGGCCTGCCATATGGTCTTCTCTGTGGATTGGCTGCTCTGAGTGGGAATATCATTGTCAAGGCTTGGTGGGCCAGGATGTCCTCCACTCTCTTCTTCCCCCTTCATTTGCTCCGGTGTGCTCTGATCAGACATGTCCCTCTCCCTGAGCTGCAACTTCAGTGCTGTCCTCTGAAGTAAATTCTTCTAGGGGGAGGGCAGCTTTCCACATAGTTGGGATTGGCGCTGGCCCCTCAGACCTCTACTTTCAATGAGGGGCTAGTCACAGAAAAGTAAATGGGTGGTTGGCGTTGTCTTATCCTTTACAACTTGGTCAATCCTTCCCATCTTTTGATTCTATGTGTATGTGTATGTTTCTGCAAGATGTTTGAGTATATGCATGTATTTCCACAAGTTTATCTGTGTTTCAATGTAAGTATGTTTTGTTTATTTGTGTGAACTTTTATTGCTAGGTGGGTGAGACTTGGTGGTATATGTGAGAGTGAGTAGTGTCTTTGTGTATGTGTGTTGTCTTTGTGGCATGCTGTTTTATAACGGCAATGCAATTTAGATTACAGATCACCAGGGGGAAAGGGGATCTTCTAGTGAGGTCCTGGGTAATGCAAACCGTTAATGAACTCAACTTACAATCAAATGGCTATGGTCTGTGCCCACTCGTGTTCCTAAGAAGAAAGCTGGTGATCTACTTCCAAGGGACCAGTCCCTGCAAACCTTAATGGAGCACAGCTCTATTCGGATACCCACGGGGTTGCCCGGAATCAGATTTGACTTGATCATAACTGCTTGCACTTTAATGATAATGGTTTGTATTTCTATAGCATGTCAGTCTTTTCAAAAGTAAAAAGCTGCATAAGCTAAGAATGATTACCAGCCCTGTTTTCCCGAGAAAGAAACAGAAGCCCAGAGAGTTTATTACTTGGCCCAAATTCCACAACCAGTATCTAGTAGAACCTGGTATTCCAACCAGAACTGTCTTCCTCGCAGCACAGGGATTTTTCTTATATCTGTCATTCAGCTTCCAAGGCAAAACTCAAGTGCTATTGCTTTCACAGAGTCTTCTTGACCCTTCAGCACCCAGTCTCCCCTCTCGGACCTAGGACAGCCTGTCTCGATTCAGTCCTGTGGCATGTTCCATTCATTGTCTCGCAGCCCCTCTTCAGACATTTCTGGAGGGAAGTGTAGGACTGGGAAGACTGTACAGATGACCTAGCCCTGCTTCCCCTTTAGCATTTCCTTCTACTTTTCAAAATCCACTTTGCTTACATGCCTCCAGGGATGGAAAGGCCACTTCTTTCTTTTTTTTTTTTTTTTTTTTTAACATTTTATTAGGGGCTCATACAACTGTTATCCCAGACCATACACACATAAATTGTGTAAAGCGCATTTGTACATCGTTTCTCAAAACATTTTCTCTCCATTTAAACCCCCGACATTAGGTCCTCATTTT